ACTGAGAAATTTATACTTTTGACCCCCCAAAGTACCAACTAGATTCACTTTCCTATCAGAAAAGGTACTATTGAAGAAAATCTAAGCACTTTTACTGTCCCAAAACGTGATGACAGACACAAAAAAAAAAAACACACATCATTGTAAAACCAATACACTCATCGCTCCGCTCAGAATCTAAAATTTTAAATATATTACTAGAGTAAAGTTAAATATACATAAATTTAAAAAATAAAAATGTGTAGGTAAACAACTGTTGTATAATATAATATAATATTAGATGAATAGCTGTGTTGTAGACATAAATCTGTGGGTTGGTGGGGGGGGGGGGCATTTTTAATAACAAAAATAATTATATACAAATTAAACTATATATAGCTATTATGGATGTTAAATGTATAACAAAATATACATATGTTTAAAAACGAATTAGGTTGGTAATTAACTAAAAAGTATTAATAATTATAAAATATTTGTAACTACATTATAAAACAAAATTATCAATAATGAAGAGAGATATGAACCGTTAGAACTGAAATATTGATACCTACCTTATCGAAGCACTTTTTTTTTGCACAACTTTTTTGATATTTTTTATTTTAACTGAAGTTGACTTACGGTGCGAGGAATTAATAGCTAGCGCTTGGCTATTAAATTCCAAGACCAGTTTCTTCCAGCAGGCTTCTTTTTCTTTCCACATCACAACGTATGTTTTTTTATTTTCAAGAAGCTGACTGTTATCTGTTACCAATTTTACGAGCAACTCCTCTTCCCTCTTACTGAAATCGACATTCCTCGCCCTCTTTTTACTTCATTTGTAACAGAACTCATATTTGTATTTTGTATTAATGTATTATGAAGCAAATATCAGACGTCAGTAAACAATTAATTACAAAAATACAATACACTTGAATACAGAAATACATTTGAAAAACGAACAGTGATAGTACGAATTAACGTACATTCATATATCTATGCACTCAGCCTCTACAAATAATAATTTTATTACAATGACATTATTATCGGAAATAAAAATTGTAGAACGCTGCCTTAGATAATATAATATATTTATAGGTCTATGGTGTTATCATAGAACACAACTGTCGGTTTACACGTCACGTAATGTATACAAAATGAATTCAATCAATTTCAGTTTACTTTTACTATTTTAGTTGTTACAAAAAATTATCAAATAATATCATGCATTGTAAAATAAAATAATCTTTGAAAGTCAAAATCCGCCGACTATTTGTATTAAATTATACTTATAATAAATCAATGTTAACTCGGTGGACAGAGATGTAGGCATGTAGCCACTGCCAAGACAACCGTCAGACGTCAAAGCGCAACGCCACAACGCCATGACGACGTCTCACCGGTTCCTGAATTTACGTTTTAAGTCACCTAAAACTTTCAACTTTCAACTACATAATACGTACCTAATAAATATACTATTTAGCCATGCCTAATACGTTATACGATATAAATACAACGAGTGGTAATAACCGATCAATAGTGAAACGTTATTTGTATACAAATATATTATGTTTACCAACGTTCAAAATTATATTATATTATATATTACAATTTACAACTAATTTATTATTAGTAATATTTTTAGTCTTATGTGTTGTTGAATCTTATTCACGTATTTTTGAAACGAAGTTTTTTTTAGCACGATTAGGGGCTAGTCGGGAAAAAACGTTCCTGACGAAATACTTTTTTTTTATAATATTAAATAGTTAATTTAGCCAAAACATCCAATTTTCATTCCATCATACTGATCGATCCAGTAATGCGATAAAACTTTTTAAAACAGATTTGAATTCGTTATTATATCTGATTGAGATTGGTAAGTCCACTTTTCCCAATTTCACCCCCCCCCCCCCCCCCCCCCCACCACCAACCTCTAAAAATGCAGCTTGAATATTTTGAAATTTCGGAATTTTCAAACGTTGATTATTCGGAATTTAAATCAGAAATCTTAAAATGTGGACTGACCGATCTCTAATAGAAGTTCTGACGAACTCGGATAAGTTTTCACAAATATTATCGCATTATTAGATCAATTGGTAAGATGGAACAAAAAAATAACAACCGGCCAAGTGCGAGTCGGACTCGCGCACGAAGGGCTCGGTACCATCATCAGCTATAAACATGTTGGCAACAATGCTTATATTATATATTCTAGGATTTTTAGTATTTTTTATTATAGCATCAACAGAAATACCTAATCTGTGAAAATTTCAAATTTCTAACTTATGAGGTTCATGAGATACAGTCTGGTGATAGACGGATGGACAGCGGAGCCTCAGTAATAGGGTCCCGTTTTACTGTACCCTAAAAAACGGGATCGGTAAGTTGTAGTGACGGTCCGCGATGATTATAATTATTTATAGTTCATAAATATCTTGCGTGTATTGATAATATAACTAATAAAATTATTGATAATATATCACTAAACTACCTATATTATGTATTTATAATTATTATAAGTAATAAAATATAGAAGTATAATAACTAATAAGTAAATAAATAATATATTCAATAAAAATTTAATTGTACGTAATATGTAATGTCTTTGGAAATAAATTTGCCGTATAATATATTTTAAATTTTGAACAATATTATATTATTTTGTTGTCATGGAAATATTCGTTTGGATGTTTATCCATACGTTCGATTACACATTTTGAATCAGTTTAAAATATATTTCGTCACGAACATTAACTTCGTCGACTAAAATAATAATTGTCCTATAACATTAATATATACAATAAGCAGTTTATGATTTTCATTATATATATTATTGTTTAATAATTTTTCGTAACCTCGCGTTAGGTCCAAAAACGCAAAAATCTAGTTTATCAGAACAATTGCACAATGGCCTTAACAACTATCAAGAACATTACAGACGAACTAAATGCCATATTGGAAGAAAACCTTGAGGGGATACTGACAAACGTCGAAAATGGCAATTACGAGTATTATGTTTATGGCGGTGATCACGTCATGGTGATACTAGTGGAGCCACTAGTATTTGTATTAGCCCGAATAACTTCGTCACTCTCTACCGGCGAGCCGCTGACCATTGCCGAAATCACCGATGACAACAACTTCGAAAATACCCCTGATCTGGTCGCACCGGTAGAGAATGACGTCATGTTAAAAGGAGAATACAGCATCATGTCGGTCGAGGAGCACTCCGGAGTTGAGCCGGCCGAGGAAACCGGAGAGCAGAACAGTTGTGGGCCAAACGGTGGGCCGGAACCGACAGAAGCTGGAAAACGCCTGCCACTCAGACGAAGCCGGATGTCCACGGTGTGGAAAAGAGTGAAGCGCGTCTTCCGCTTCCTGTGCTGCTGCGGATGCCGCTCAGACTGACACTGTGGTATTGGGCCGAAGACGACGGACAGGATGACGGCGACGAAAAGGAGGGGAGTGGATACGAGAGAGAGCACACTTTGCAAATCAGCACCGAATCGCCATCTCGTATCCCCCCTCCTGGTTTATTGTGTCTCCTGTCCGTCGTAGTTTTTTTTTCTTTATCTATTTTGTAATAATTACAATTTTTTACTATTGTTACTTATTAGCAGTCAAGGCGAAGCCATGTGGGGTCGAGGTAATAGGTACGTGAGAGTGCACTTTTGGGGTGATCGGAGGTAAGTCACCAACACATACGTTCTGCGGCCACCGGCGGTAGGGATCGCAGGATCGAGGACGTCGTGCGCTCGAGGTCGCCGACACGCGGAGACACTCTGGAGTTGTGGCGGGCCCTGACTGCTTCGGTCCGAGAGCGACGACAACGACGCGACGACGGAGCTGGCTAGCTGTACGACGAAGGTACCACTGCCGATGACTGCTGCTGCACAAGACGACTCGCGATGGTGGAGACGGAAACCGCAGAGCACACGTCGGGCGAGTGACGGACGACTATAATTATTATACGGTGGCTAGGGAACCATATAATAATAATATATAGTCTTCGTCGCTTGCTCCGACGAGCTTTGGTCGAAGTCTTCGCCGTCGCCATAGTCGTCTTCGGCACCTGCAGTACCGTCAAGCAGTGCACGTCATCGCGCACTAGCCAATCGTCGTCAAACCACCGTCGTTGCTCTCGCAGCCGTTGTCCTTCCACTTCCATGGTCGTCTTCGCGTCCTCGAGCAAACGCACCCGCGACCCACGTCCCTCCGCAGGACCATCCGCAAGAACTATGTAGAGGTGACCAGTTTATTGCCAATTATAACCCACTCGCCATCACGTACCCCCACCTCGCCTCGTCTTGACTGATGTCTTTTTTTTTACATTTTTACATTTTTTCATTTTAATTTATTTTGCCACATTGAGCATCTTTTTTGTTAATTAAAATTATTATTTCTTGTTTTTTGCCACATTGCGCATCTTTTGTTAAAATTATTATTTCTATTTTTCCGCTACATTGAGCTTTTTTTTCATTTGTAAATATTATGATTATTATTATATTTCGGCATAAAAATGTTTCAAAATTATTGTAAAGCACTCAATAAACAATATATCAAATAGGTATATCATATAATTTATAATATTATTGACTTATTTATTTATAATCATTTATCTCACACCTCTTGTGTTTTTTGTTTTTATTTTTCATAATTATAAACAGGGTGTTTAAAAATTATATTATTTTTATAATTCAGTCCCGGTTCGCACTGCGTTCGATGCACACGTCTTATTTTAACTCCGTAATAATTCGTTGTTATTCTCGTTCTTCGCAACCGATTCGGTTCAAATTTATAACGTAAAATTACTAATGATAAACTCTATGCAAATTAATAACTTAATTTGAACTGTAAGTATGCCGTTCTCGTAATGCTTACTAAATTTAATTTATTTTTACTTACATAAATATAAGTGTCTAGTGAAATATCTAACAGTCGTTGCGTGTACCGCAGATAACGCACCGCGTTATCGCGGTTTTGCGTGCGTCGTCCAGCGGTCCGTGACCTTGCTCACGTAAGTAATGCCGCCTACTCCAAATATAAATAGTGTACAAAAAAAAAAAAACACAACCAATTCAACTATCACGGATAAAAGTAAAACTAAAAACAGCACTATACAGCCTGCTCGTTTAACAATTCCTACAAATTCTACCAAAAGTCCCACAACTAATTCTGAATACAGCTCTCAGAGTCGTAATATGAGCAACACTACAGATGGCGAATGGATCCAGAAACCCACGCAGAAAAACAAAAGGAATCTTTCTAGCTCTTCATCTGACATGTCGCCGAAATCTCCTCCTCCGCCGATCAAAAAACTATTTACTACACGAAACCGCTTTGAAGCTTTAAATCAAAATCCAAGTCAAAATGATTCATCAGACATAATTGCTGAAGCTACCTCTGATACAGAAGATGCAAATAACGATACTCACATCAAACCTCCCCCCCCCGATATTCATGAAGGGTGTTCTAGACTTTCCAAACTTCTGTGCAGCTCTTATAGAGCTAATTGGTGTAGACCATTTCTTTTGCAAATCTGCCGGCGACCGTCTAAAAATACAAACCTCAAACCCTGAATCTTATAGAGTGCTTGTTCGCTATCTTAAAGAAAGCAAGGCTGAATACCACACCTTTCAATTACGGGAAGATAAACCCACACGGGTTGTCATTCGTCATATTCATCCATCTACACCTACAGATCTAATAAAAACTGAGCTTGAAGCTCGTCTGTTTGAGGTAAGACAGGTTACAAACGTTCTCCACAAGGCCTCCAAATGCCCACTTCCGCTGTTCTTTGTCGATCTGGAACCAACTGCTCACTCAAATGGCATTTACCAGCTATCCTCTCTTCTACATACCAAAATAAAGGTTGAAGAGCCTTACAAACCTAAAGTGATCAGTCAATGCGTTAACTGCCAGGAGTATGGACATACCAAAACATACTGTGGCTATCACTCACGATGTGTCAGATGTGGTGATCATCATCAATCTTCTTCATGTCCAAACTCGCGCTCTGATCCACCAAAATGCGCACTTTGTTCCGGGGATCACCCAGCAAGTTACAAAGGTTGCTCAGTCTACAGAGATCTTCAGCGTGGCAGAAAACAAACTACAAAAAGTAATTTTTTATCTGATAATGTTAGAAATAAAACTACAAATGTAAGAGACACCCACCCCTTAACAAATGCTCATCCAAACCAACCCTCAAATCATTCTCCCACTTATGCTCAAGCCACGTCTGGTCAATCAAACAATACACTTCCTATTCCAACTCAAGATCTAAGTAACACAATTACTAATTTTCTGGAGGAGTTCAAATCGCTTATTAACCCTCTCATCTCTCTACTCAATAAAGTAATCACGAAACTACTTGATAAAATATAATGTCTAGTAACGTCACAAATAAATCTCTGTTAATACTCCAATTTAATGCTAACGGCTTAAAAAACCATATTAATGAACTTGAAACTGTACTTCACGTTAAACGAATAGATATAGCTCTTATAACAGAAACCCATTTCACCAAATATTCTTCAATATATATCCCTGGTTACAAATTATTGAAAACCAATCATCCTGACAACACTGCGCATGGTGGAGTTGCCATCCTAATTAAATCATCGATCATCTTCCAATCGCTTCCAAATTTCTGTCAGCCCTATTTGCAATCTTGTGCTATAAATATTAATCTAAACAACATCCCGATCACCATTGCGGCCTTATACTCCCCCCCTAAACACAAGATAACAAACCAAATCCTTACTGACTACTTTCTCACAATAAAACACAATTTTATAGTCGGAGGTGACTATAATGCTAAACACTTGTCATGGGGTTGTCGTACAAATAATCCGCGTGGGTTAGTTCTTCAAAATTTTATATCATCCAAATATTTCAAAGTTCTTGCCCCACCTGGTCCTACATACTGGCCGACCTCCACACACAAAAACCCTGATATCTTAGACATTTTTGTTGCTAAAATTCCAAATAACCTATACTGTATAACAGAAAACCTCCTCGAACCTAATTCCGATCACTCCTCAGTGATGTTAACAGTAAGTGCTTCCCCATTGACTAGACAGGAGTCTCCTAAACTATTCAATTCATCTACTGACAAGTTCAAATTCCATAACCTTGTTGACCAACAAATCCGTCTCAATGTAAAACTTAAAACACCTGCTGATATTGATCTTGCTGTAAATAACCTTACAAAACTTATACAGTCTGCGGCTTGGTCCTCAACAAAAATACTTCAACCTACAACTCATCACCCCCTAATTCCAGAATATATACGCAGCATTATTGTAGAAAAACGTAGAGCTAGAGCTTTGTATCAACGAACGCGTCTTCCGTCTGATAAACAAAAATATAATAAACTAGCCAACCACCTTAAAAAAGTTTTGGCAAAATATAAATCCGAATCCCTTGTTAATTTTCTTTCAAATCTATCTACTAAAGATGGTAGTATCTGGAGAGCGACTAAAAAAATTTGTAAGTATAAATCTGCTAATCTCCCAATCAAAAACCCAGATGGCAGTTATGTAACTTCTGACTCTGACAAAGCCGAACTTTTCAAAGCGCATCTTTCTGATATTTTTCAACCTCACTCTGACATTTTCTCCCATACTATTGTTAATACTGTTAATGATTATCTTAATTCTTCATCCTCTCCTACGGCTAGTCCTGTCAAACATTTCACACCAAATGATATTAAATTCGCAATAAATCAATCCACCCTTAGGAAATCCCCAGGATATGACCTAATAACAGCTGAAGTAGCTAGATGCCTACCTAAAAAAGCAATTGTCCATCTTTCCCATATTTTTTTAACTCTGTTTTACGTCTCTCTTACTTCCCAATTTTATGGAAATTCTCCACAATTATCGTAGTCCCCAAACCTAATAAACCACCTGATTCTATCTCCTCTTTTCGTCCCATAAGCCTACTTCCATTTTTTGCCAAAATTCTGGAAAAACTTTTACTCAAACGTCTGCACCCATATATAGCAGAAAACAATATCATTCCCAATTCTCAATTTGGATTTCGTTCTGCCCACTCAACTATACAGCAAGTCCATAGAGTAGTTGATGCCATATCCTACGCTTTGGAAAAAAAACTTTTTTGCACTAGTGCATTTCTCGACATCTCTCAGGCGTTCGATAGGGTATGGCATGACGGTCTTCTTTATAAATTAAAAAAATTTCTTCATCCCACCTACTTCCTCGTTATTAAATCATATCTCTCTGAGCGTAATTTTCAAATACGTATTGGTAATGCCTACTCTTCTGTAGCCAATATTTCTGCGGGTGTCCCCCAAGGTGGTATTCTCTCTCCCATCCTCTACAATATATATGCCTCGGACCAACCAACCTCCCCTAATACAATGGTTGCAGATTATGCAGATGACAAAGCCATACTCTCAACTCACTCTAACCCTGTATTAGCAGTTCAAAATCTCCAATCTCACCTTTCTCTTATGGAAGATTGGTACACCAACTGGAGATTTAAAATTAATCAAGCGAAATCCATCCATACGACGTTCACCCTAAGACTTACTCCTTGCAATGATGTTTTCATATACGGGACCCAAATTCCAAGTGCTCAGAGCACTAAATATCTCGGCCTAACCCTCGATAGAAGGCTGACATGGGCCCAGCATATTAAATCAAAAAGAATAAACTTAAACCAACGTTTACGTCTTTTAAAAAATCTCATTTATAATAACAAATACACTCACACTAGTACCAAACTCCTTATTTATAAATCCTTACTTAAACCCATGTGGACATATGGACTGCAACTATGGGGAAACGCAAAAAAGTCCAATCTAAACAAAATTCAAACTTTCCAAAATCTAGCGCTTCGTAAATTATTAAATGCCCCTCCTTATGTTTCTAATCATACTATTCATACAGATTTAAAAATACCTCTAGTGCATGAGGAAGCAAAATTGTATTACAAACGTTTCCACCTCCACTTATTATCTCACTCCAATCCGCTCGTTCGAAATCTCTCTACCCCGACTATCCCCGGAAACCCTCCAAGAAGGTTAAAACGAAAATGGTGCCGTGACTTGCTCGTATAAATCAAGTACTAAAAAATTAAGTATATGCATAAAAAAAAAAAAATAATAATAAAAAAAATTAAAATAAAATAAAATATGTATAATACATATTAAAGAAATAACAAAAAAAAAAAACGAGCGAAAGTGTCATTAATGGGTGGCTGCTCTCATCAAACGTAACATGTTGTATATAATTTATTGTAAACTGTTATTATTATTAATATTAATTTGTTTTGATACCTTATATGTATATTCTGTATCACATTTACCTATTGTGCCTAAGGTATAGATTGTAAATTTCTCTTAAAAATAAAAAAAAAAAAAATTTTTATAATTGAAATCATTTATTACTGTATTCAAATTATTATTATAATTTATATAATACGATTGTTATATTATTACAAATTATCCAGTAATAAAATTATATTTTTTATACTGTAAAATGCTGTTTTTATATTTTGTATTAAACAGTAGGTACGATTTCATTTCTTACAACAGGATAATGATTGATGAACATTTGATGAATAATATTAACCAACAACTTTTTTGATACGTCGTACCATAAACCTCAATAAATTATTATATTGAACGTTTTGGCTTCGTGAAAGTATAAGTGCAAAATATTGTCATGAATCTTTATATTTTTAATTGTTAAATTTTTCACTTGTTATACTTTGTTATTTTGAATACTAAATTCATTGCGCCCCTCCCTTTTTTCTTTTGAACATTAAATATTATTATATTATATTATCAAATTACCTATTGTATGAAATGAATGCATAATGTGATATTGGGAATGACCGATAAAAAGTATATTTTCCGTTGTTTAATAAAATTGGTCAGAAAGAAATCAATGCTATAACGTCGGTCACATTTTACCTTAAAAATGCGTGCAATTTGTGGATATTCAATACACTTGGCAGAGGTAATACATTCTTATGACACTGGCTAAGTCAATAAAAACTTGTAAAACCCGAATAAGTTATTTGTTTGTTTGGTTTTTTTATTCTAGTTACTTAACCCCCAAATACCTAAACAAGCATAGGGTCAACGTTTCGGGGTATGTAGGGATGAAAAACATAAATTATTATCCCTTACTGAAAAATATAAATATGTTGGACACAGACAAACTGGGTTACGTTGGTCATTTATCGTTAAGAACGAACATAATATATTAATATATGTGGATGTAATTATATGGACATCTCTGAACCAACTTGGTAAAATTAGAAATTTAGTATATAGTTAGAATTTGAATAATGTGTTATCCTAGAAATATTTATAAATAATAAACGAACTGTAACATTAATTTTAAATAAATAAACTAAGTAATAGTTTGGTTCGTATTAATAAATGCTTTGTAACACGAATACAGAAACTTTATAATAAAACTTCTGTGAAATTTTGTTCAAAAATATATTACACACATTATTGATTTGGGCCCAGACGTTCAGTAGCTATAAACATATACAATATACAATTATATAATATCTTTATTTAACTTACTAACGC